GCCAATACATCCTTAATGTATATGTGTGTGTGTGTATATATATATTGTTTACAGACAACGATCGGAAGGAGATGGCCGATACTGCTGTGGGAAGATAGAGCTCTTACGAGATCAACTTTGTACACGTTATCTTTAGAAAGGGATGTCGCTCCCTTTGTAAGAAACAAAGTAGTTAAATTGGTCGTAGATATTGCAAGGCACGACTGGCCGCATTTTTACCCAGACTTTTATTCAAACATTCTGCAGGTTCGTATAAACAAACTACTACCTTGTCTGTCTATAGTAAAGCCTGATAGTCTCCTCCCATTGTATGTGAAACTTATTGAAAATATAGTGAGAACTAAATGCATCCAACTAACTGTACTTTATGTGTTCTTCGCGTACTATAATTGTGATCGTTTCGGTTTAATTAATTCCTCACCATTACCTTGAGATTAAGATCAGTTCCTCGCCGAACGAACGAACGAACGAACGAACGAACGATTGATTGATTTATACGTGTTTCGTTGAAACTGTATTTGCAAAAAAGTAAATTATTCTCACATTAGATCGGATCGTCTTGTTGGTACTGAAAGTTTAATTATGTATTATTTATACAATGAAAGTTATTAGGTCATAAGCATACGAGACTATTGGGTCTCATCTATCTGAGGACAGCTTCAGAGGAATTAGCAACTCCCAGGGATGATCTACCTATACATAGGAAGAACGAATTATTTAGGTTTCTCAGTGCTCAAGTGCCTTTGACGTTGGAGACTCTTACAAGTACGTTGTTTTTCGTTCAGTTACATTTCATTTCCCATTTTTCCTCAGTTACTATTTGCTATCGTCCAGGAGATTGGAACGAGAACGGTTTCTGCTAGAACGTCATTTTAATAATTTTTTTTTATACACGCGCGCGCGTGCATTCCTGCACATGCACTCACACAGTACTCTTGAGGGAAGCCACGAAATTGCAAAGTCGTTCTGGAACAGTTACACCGCCCCCGTCGCCAACCGGTGGACAAACAGTGGCACCTGCGAGAGCCATTTTAGACGTCGAGCGGGGACTCGCATCGGGAACCACCGAGGTGTGCATAGCAACGTTAGAAGTATTGGCACACTTGTTCAGCTGGATCGAGTTATCCGAACACATATCTACAGGCCTACTGGATGCCATATTCACATGTGCCAATTATCACGATGCAATGGTAAACGCTTTTACACTTAACGTTCGCTCAGGTCGGTGCATCTGAAATTTCCGTGGTTTTCCAGTTAATTATGGAATAGGTGAACGAACGAAGGCAGCGATGAAACGCAGAGAATTAAATCGTAATCGAATTTCATCAGGTTCGGTACACTAGTCTAGCTTTTAGGAACAGGTGAATATCACGATATTTCGTATGCGCCAACTTGCTATAATATACTGTATGTGTGTGTGTGTGTGCAAACTAGTTTTTCTGTAATGGAAACGTATTACCGACGATTGTACTATCCAACAACGTGTTTGTTAACAGAACGTTAAGCAAATTGAAATGAGCGTACAAGCCGTGACAACGATAAATGAACTTTTGTATCGACCTCTGTGCTCACCCGATGTGACCGACAGATTGTTGGTCGAAATATTTCAGAATGGAGTCACGTTGTTTCAGCTGTTGGAACGCCTGGACTCCGTGAACGAAAGGTGTGGTCGCGTCATCGTAATACGTTTGTTCCCTGCTAATCTCGCGGGCGCGCGAGAGGTGTAACGATAATGACGCACGTTCTATGGTTACAGTTACATGGAAAAGTTGACAGAGTTCTTACAATTGTTCGTAACGAATCATCTAAAAAGGATAGAATCGTCTCCGAAATTTTCTGTGAACACGCTGTTGGAAGTCTTGTGTCATCACACCTTCCAACAGTGCTCGACGGTAAACGGATATTTGAGAAGTTTGGACGTTTGGGCCACTCTTTTAGAGAACGGTCAATCCCGATATTCCCCAGTGACGTTGGCTCTCTGCGAGCAAGTGTTGCAGAAAATAAGTTTCAAGCTCAACACGCGTACGCTGAAAGATCTCGACACTGAAAACTTGGACGAAAACGTGAGCTTTTGGACTATGAACGCGCGCGTGGTTCACGTCGCTCCTCTTCCTCTTTCTTCTCCTTTGACTGATCGTCGTCGTCGTCGTTATCATCATCTCGTTTGTTGTTACAGGAAGAAACGGAATGGCAGCACTTCTTAAGGTGTAACATAGAGTGTTTGGCTAAAGTGGCAGACATTTCACCGATTCCAGTTTTCACATTATTGGTAAAGAGCAAAGTGCAATTTTCATTATTGGCCAAAGCGAGCAAGAATGGACTACGACTATGCAGCAGCAACAGCAGCTGTATGATACGTCGTCGTCTTATACGTCGATAGACTATCTCCGACCGATAGTGCCGGCAGTTTCCGATTTCTCGATCGAATAGACGAGTCCATAGAACAACGTTGTCGTCGTCGTCATCGTCGTGAGTCACTCGGTCCATTTTTCCCCGCAATGACCATCGTCAATAATAATGATCCGATCTTATCAATCGGAGTTCTCATAATTAATCGTCGTCGTCGTCGTCGTCGTCTTCTTCGACTGCTTCAGTATCGTACATGGAGAGAGGAATTAATGATGTTCGGAGAATTGGGCACCGTTATCGTTAATAATCAAGTAATTCTACTGAACGAGTCGGAGGCAGCGAACGTACACGCACATTTACGAGACTTGGCTTCCACCACTCAAGTGTTAGCTAGGCTGTATTCACTTTTCCTTGGTAAGTCGTCGTTGTCGTCGTCGTCGTCGTCGTCGTCCGTCGGTTCCGTCGTCGAGATGCTGATACGACGGAATTTTCGGATGCTCCCATGAAAATCGATGAACTGACGAGTATTATGAGTAGTACGACACGCGATAATTTCGATTCACAAAAGAATATTATTTACTTTGGAAGTAGAACACGATCCGCCGCGCAATTAATAGTATTGAATTCTAGGAGATGATCAAAACATCGATCAAACGTTAGCCGAAGAAGTAGTGTCTCAAACGTTGGACGCATGTAAATTTGCCAACACAAATCAGTTGTACAAAGCGTCATTGCAACCAGCAGCGATCGTGATCGACCTCATAGAAGTGTAAGTAAAAAATTTCACGCAAATAAAGTATCGGAATTTTGCTGTATAATACAATACTAGTAGTAGCAGTAGTGGTAGTTGTTTCGATGTTCGTGTTTTCCGTAGCCGGAGTAATTACGAGTTTCACATGTTCGTATAATTGAACTTGCGTCGATTATTAGCCATTCACAGCTGTTGGCGTCGCTCCAAGCTTGGTGCCACTGGATAGCGAGCAGGCCGCAGAAAGTAAAGGAAACGTTTTGTCGACGATGCATCGACTCGTGCATCCTGGCTTTAGATTATACAACGTTCTGTGATAATCCTTTGCCAACGAATCTGACTCATTCCGCTACACATCTTTTCCAAAGCATTACTGCCATATTAAAACCCGTCCTATGGGACGAGCCTACCTTTAGAAATTTAATATCCATGATGACGTACCCGTTTTTTAAACCTGACACGATAAAGGTGTTACGAAGGGCGCTCGTCAACGCGATCATCTTGCCGCCCGGCGATGGATCTATTCGAGAGCGATTATTAGGTATCTTCTACTAGATATATTATACATATCATCTTTTGACCTGAACGCGAGTTTACCAGTAGTATCTCAAATCTGTCTATTGAACGTAAATGTCATTATTTTACGAAACGTGTATACGTAAACAACATTTAAAATGTAGTATGGCAGCAGCCTTTTTCCACAAGTAGTGGAAATTAGTTAGCTCTGCCTGTGTCGTCGCCCCCGTCTATTTATACCCGACTGAATCAATCAGCATTATAGCAGTGCGCGTGAATGTTTGAACAGGCACGATGATCTCGACACTGTCTACGCCTCTCGGTTCAGAGGGCCAACCAGTACCTTCGGAATCGTCCATTTCGATCACCGTGGTGCCGTTGACTCAACTGTTGGAAGACTGCTCCGCCTCGTCCACGACAATAAAAAAGATGTTGCATTCATGTTTAGGTCCGACGATAAATCGGATTTTAGAATTGTTACCTTACACGATAAGATGTCAGAGCATATGCGAGATCTTGCTCAGTTTCTTGCATTCGGTGTTCTCGGTGTTGCAGCAACAATTAGGACCGGAGTTTATACAAAACGCTGTTCAAGGCATGCTACATATTTATACCAGGTACTACCATCACCAGGTTCTCATCACATTTTGCTCGTTGACTGACCCCTTCGCGTTAACTTGGCTTGCGCGAAGCAAATGCGAAGATTTTTGCCGAAGCACTAGTTTTGTAGAGAATGGATCGAAGCAGAATGTGGAAGTAAAGTGCATGCGAAGTGCGGTGGCAATCAGCAATTTGTTTTCGTGCCGATGAATGATGGGGTACAGAAGTACCGCGTTTCATATTTATATCGTCTGCGTGCACTCGCGCGCACGTCAAGTAAACTGAACCACACTGACGTTTTAATTTGATTCCACAGAGAAAACATATCTGTGGGACCTGCATTGGATCAATTGTTAGAAATTTTGATATTAGTCGTGTCGGCTCCCAGTAACGCATTCAAAGCCTTCGTTCCTTCGATAACTACTCTCTGTTTGGGTCAAGTGTGGCCTGCCGTTGGAAACGATCTGAGCGCTCATCCGGATACTACGCTCGTTCTGTTGAAACTTTTCTACAGGTATGACGACGAACCATCGATTCGAAGTATCGATTTAGAATTTCTGGCTTTCCTCGTTATCTGGCACACTACAGCACTTACTCAAACAGTTCTATCGGCGACTGAATTGGCTACTCTTCGTTATTTTTCGATACGTTCATACTCGTACTCGTACGGACGGAATAAACTGAAACGTTTGTTTCAGCATACTTATGCACCGATGGCAATATTTTTATAACGCTTCGATTCTGCATACCCTCGGTCATACCGACGAGGACGAGCCGGTTGAACACAAGGAGGAATTAGTCGCCATTCTAGAGGCGTTTGGTCAGGCCCTTCTCCAGCCCGATGTCAATATATTCCGACAAAGCTTGCAAGGTCTCGAGCAACTGAACGTACGATGGCGGCTGTATCAACGAACCGTGTTCAAAGTTCATTTAATAGAGAGATTTTTAATGGCACTGTTCACCGTTCTATCTCAACAGTAAGTTCGAAATCTTTTTGTCAAATTGATCGCTATCAATCTGAGTATGCGCATTTATTATCGAGCTAATTCTGTACATTCCGAGACGAGGCGAGACGACATAAAACGCGTGAAACCCTGTCACTACTACCTACCTGTACAGCGTACAACTTTTTTACTTCAATTTCTTTTCTAATCTGTATTCGTTCACATAGGTCACACAACTTATTGGCAGATGAAATCGCGACTGCCATTCACAGTCTAGCTTCGGTCAATATAGCATGGTTCTTCGGTCATTTTCTACCCACGTTTTTGTCAAGTTGCGACGGAGTGGACGACATGCAGAAAGCCACGTTGCTGGAAAACTTCGACAAATCTACCGTAAGTTGAATCAAATCAGTTCAATTCAGTTTCAACACAACAACAATACACACAGACACATACACACACGTAGCAAATAGATGCACGTGGATTTTATGCGTTTCGCGAAAAAATTGAAATTGATGATGATCACATGATGCGGCGTAGACAAGCATATCGCAATGCTTAAACGCTGAAACAAATTAACTAAATATGAATCTTACGTTCATTATTCATACAATTTCAAGACCATGAGCTCTGCGTAGTATCTTCATCTTGCTTCGGTTTGTTTTGATGGTAATAATGATGATAATTTTCTTGTTGGTTCTTGGGAAACCGACCAACTGAATCACAACAGGATCAACCAACTTTGACGAGATCCGTGCTGCAATTAATAGCCGACCTACGATGTTATCAGTTTTTTCTTCGACCCGGTTGAGACAGCTACGATGACCTGACGTAAAACTGGATTCCGACCAACCGAGAGGTTCAATACGACTTCGACGATGATTTCTCTTTTAACAAATCTATCCGCCTACGCAAGCAGCAGATCTCTTCGAACATCTCTTGATCGTTTGAACTGTTTTCTGAAAATTATTGTCAGACTGCGAATTGTTATACTACTAATTATTATTTATAAGAACTTCAAAATGAGAAGAATGGGAGTATGAACTTGTAGTACCAGAAATATCCAAACGTCTGATTTGACGGGGGTTTGGGGGGGGGGAGATGACGTATTGGTGGAACGTCTGGATCATGTTTTCTGCCTTTTACACACATATACGTTTATGTAGTACCGACGCGTGACGTTCATGGGAATCCGTAGTAGTTATCTAGTTTCACGAAGACCACTGCCCAAAACTGCATTGTGATGTCTCCAGCGTTCATTTTTTTATGGAATAAAACATGTTTTCCTAATAGTCCAGTCCAGGTGTGATTTATCTCGGTGGGCCGTCTCTGATCTATTGTCGTTGTGCGTACACACGTTACACTGAACGCGTATACTATGTTGGCTAGTGTCGAGGGATCCGTTTCATTTTCTTCCTTTCTCAGTCGTTGTCATCGTTGTCGGTGGTTTCTTCTCCTCGAATAGTCGAAATAGTTGTCATCAGCTCAGGTGAACACGTACATTTTTTATTTATTTCCAAGATATTTATTATTGCACTGTCACATTGTGTAACATAACTGATACAACACGTTTATAAAAATAGACATATTCAACGTTACGCTATAACGGTTAAACTATATTTCAATGGAACGATAGACAGTACTACGTAACGTAAAAAGTATGTACTGCATACAACAATTTGATAAGAATATGCAAACACGAAACGGAAAGTACTTTGTTAGCTAGCAATGCGGCCGCATAAGAGATCTGCATCTGTATTCGATTCGATTTTAATTAAGTAGAAAAATAAAAAATGGGCAGAAAATCGTCGTCGTCGACGTTAAGAGTTCTATCGGCCGCACGACCGAAACGAATCATTTATATCCGAGGATGATCCGCGGTCTCGGTCTGAGGTATTTTAAGTACACACGTTACAAAATGCTTTTTTTATACAAATTTTAACAGCATCGGACGATCTTGAGCCAGAATCCTCCTTCGCTGGTAGTTACCAGGCTTCGTCTGCTAAACTTTATCGGCGTGACTGTTCTCTCGCATACTTCTACCCGGTGTTCCTTGAGGAACGAGATTATCCCCACTTTGATTTGCAACAGAGCGAAACGCATACCTGCGTAACAAATGTGCGCGCGGCGCGCGTAACAATCTAAATGATCAACGATGAACGCATTTCTATATACAAGCAGTGAAAAATATTATTTGTATAATATAAATATTAATGTATAACATTACACAGTGTGTCTGTGGAGCAAATAATATTTTTCTGTGTATCCTCCTTCGACGTTATAGTTGTAATAATCGATGTTCAACAATAATACTTTGAGAAGACGTAAAGTAAACGTCTTTTCATACTCGTTCGAAGCGAAGAGATCACGTTAAGTAATATGAACAAATGAGATTAGCAATCAAAAATTTCACCTATGCAGTTTCGCGGTCCCTCGCCAAACGGAAGATACGTGTATGGATGTCTGGTTCGTTTGTTCTCTTCCGAGAATCGTTTCGGGTCGAAGGTCGAAGGATTTGAATAGTGATCCGGGTCATGGTGAAGTCCGTAAATCGGTATGATCACACGCATGCCCGCCGGTAGTTCAACTTTGCTGTTCGGTATTTGATACCGATACTCGCATCTCCGCGACAACATCGAAGCTGGTGGATACTTCCTCAGTGTTTCTAAACCGGCAAAATCCAAAATTCAAGCAGCAGTCAACTAAATATTTTAACGTAGACGACAGATTGGAAACAGACAATTTTACTAATTTTCATCAAAACTGTTTATACAGCAGCAGCAGTAGTACGCGTATAATGACAGAGCATGCATGCATGCATGTCTAATTATAAGAATCGATCTTACGTGCGACCAGTCATCACGACGACGTCTATAGTCTCGATGTTTACCTGAAATTACCATGTCAAGATATCTCATGTCTTGCACAGCGTCGTAAGTCAATTTTCCATCTTTGCTGTTGCGGATAGCGTCTTGTATGTCGCGTCTCGTTCTCTCCTGGATTTCAGCGTTCAATGCCAACTCGTGAAGACAGAACGCGATGGTATTCGACGAGGTTTCATAGCCAGCGGCGAAAAACACAAACGCCTGGGCTGCAATGCTGTTCTCGTCCAGCTCTATAAATAACAGCACGCGTCGCCTTTATGCGATAAGATTCGAGAGAAAAAACATTTCTCGTCATCGTCCACCACGACTCATCGATCAGCCGTCTCGCGGCACGAAAAATTAGTTTAGTTACTGCTAAATGTCGTTACTCTTGTGGCAGAACAGATCATTACATGGAACGGCGCGCGTGCAATAAAAATAATCCATCCAAGGATACAAAACTCAGATCAGACGGTTTAATTCGAGTGTGGTCGAGTGCACGGTGCAACAAGCCAGTGACCATAATCAAATCAATGCGAAAACGCGTAATCTTAAAGAGAAGAACTGGTTGTGGTCGACGAATCGTTGTCGCTTAAACGATCTAGGAGCAGCTACGTGTGAATGAAACGTTTCAAACATTCTTGCCCTTCTTTTATCGTCACGTCACGTTTTGTTTGTACGATACCTATCTCCTCGGTGGTCGTCTCCGCATCCCCGTGGTCGTCTTCCTCTTTCGACATTTGGCCTTGACCGCAGCTACCGCCGCCGTTCGCTACGGATTCGTTTTCCAACGTGCCTTTGTCCTTCAATTCGATCAGTAGATCCATGAAATCGTGCCTCTTGATACCGTGCGCCTTGCGTTGTCGTATCATCTGCGATACGACATCCTTGAAGAACTTGGTCACCTCGGGGTCGATCACCTGCACTCCCAAGAGCTTGTACAACCTGGGCATGGCAGTTCTAAGCATTCGCCAAAGGCTAGCCTTGTAGCTTGGTCTGGAGAGCTTTTTTGCAGCTCGATGGAACTCGGATTCCTCGTCGGTGAGCGCGTTCATCTGAATACCGAAGGCGCAACTACCGATGACGTCTATCGTGAATTTCGCAGCCAGTTCGCGAATCTCGTACGGCTGACCCGTCTCGGAGGACGCGTCGATCAACCGTTGAAACACCTCGCCGCACTCCGCAAGTAGGTAGAACATTCTTTTCAGTTTGCCCGACGAGAATGCCGGAGTCAGCTTTGATCTGAGGCTCTTCCATTTGTTTCCTTCCAGGTTGAACAAGTGTGCCGCCAACGGGTCCTGAAACGTGTGCGTGGAACGGGAAAATGTACATTCTTAATTTCAATTCGTTTCTGATCCGGGAACCGGGAGGACGAGTCATGTTCCCGCGTACATCGTTGTTACGCGTGTCTCTCGATACGCGTCTGTAGAAGGAAGATACGCATGGAATTCCACGTCACCACGTATTCCATCGTTATCAACTCAAAAAAAAATTTCTACACCGTGTCAAGATACAATACGCACAGACAGAGAGAGAGAGAGA